CCGGTACAAAAAAAAAAAAAAAAACACCATTTCAGTAAGAAGCTGAAGGCAAGGATATGAATTACTATGGTGTAAGGTAGAGTAAAGTTAAAGTCATCAGAGATTTCATCTAATTAAGGGGACTTCAAAAGGCCTCAGAGAGAAGATGGTGCTCTAGATAGGACTTAAGGAATTAATAGATTTTCAACAAATGGAGTGTGTTTGGAGGAGAGTAGCTATTTCAGATAAATGAAACAGCATGAACAAAGGTAGAGGCAAAATCTCGGAGAATATCAAGTGAACAAAGCAAAGGCCATTCTGAATAGAGCTCATTGTAAGAATAGCAATTAGATTTTATCTCGTATGCCATATATGACAACTAGTAGAGGCTGCCCGAATTGAAAATAATTCCTGAGCCCAGTCTGAGTTCAGCATGCAAGGATGTCATAATTAATATAAAAAATTGCTGCCACGGATGCAAGAGGATATAATTCCTGATTTGAGGCCATTAAACCTCTATAAGTATGAGAATAATAGCATTTACTCCACCACTTATTTTGTCAGATACTGAATATCCCCTGTATACCAAAGTCTAAACACTTGATGCTGAACACATATAATGGCAACCAGGAGAAACAGTGATGGCACTGAAGAAATGACAGTCACGTGGGGATGCCAGTCATTAACCAATGATTTCTTTTACAAATAACTGTATAATTACTATTGATTGTTACAGGGAAGGTGAATTACGGGAGCTATATGATGGCAAATGACCTTGTCCTGATATGAGGGTCTGAGAGTACTTTCTTACCCAAATGATGGTCAAGTTCCCACTGAAAGGGGCCACAAAGTCATGTCAATGATCTTTTAAGCCTTTTGGATGTTTTAAGTGTCAATGGCCCCATAATTTCTGTGTTAAAGTTTTAGACAAGGGCTGGGATCCTTGCATTTTTCCTTATTAATCTGGCATCATCACTAGTTCAAACATCTTTGATAAACAGACAAAAGCATAGCACAGTTTTAAAGGTAGTTCTCATAATGTAGGCTCTTTGATCAGCAATGTCAGTCTCCCCTGGAAAGTTGTTAAGACTATAAATTCATGGACTCTACATCACAGCTACTAATTAAAGCTCTGCACATGGGTCCTGGCAATCTACAGTTCAGCAAGCTGTCTTGGCAATTCTGATGCCTCCCAAGATCTGAGAACCTCTGTCTTGAACAATAATGCATACTTTGGAACTCTGCTTAAAGAGTTCCTTTCCCCATAACATAAATAACTTAAAGACACAAACTAAAAATGCTCACCGAACACTTAGAAAGCATAAAGAGTATCATGGCAAGCTGTTCAGGTGTGCCGAGAAGAGACAACAGTTAGTTGGTAAAAAAGGAGGTCTCTAATGCTCCATTTACGTCTTGCGGGATGAGACAAAATATTACTGACCTTTAGGAAAAATTGATCATGAGTACTAGCTGTAAGATAATGCATGTTTGTTTTCCCCTCCTACTAGTAGTCTATTTGTGCATGCTCACTTGCCTAAGATTCTCAAGGAGGTAAAGAATAAACGTATCTGAAGATCCTTGTCTCTATGCAGAATATGAAATCACCATAGTGCAATGAACTGAGACCCCAAAATGCTCACTTCAAACCACAAAGATACTTTTCATGTTAGCAATGCTAAAGATACTTTTTATATTAGCAATATATTGTGCTCAGTAAGGTAGAAAAGAAATAGAAATATTTCAATTTTGAGCTGCCAAAGGTACTACTTTTCAGTAGATATCTCTGTTTTCCAAGAAATTTGTGACTTGCAATTAAAAGCAGTAGGTCAAATTTATTCTGAACCTATTAATGTTACCCAAATCTTTGCTACCCAAAGTAACACCAGCATCACCCAGGAGCTTATTGGAAATGCAGAATCCCAGAACCCATCTCTGATTTACCAAAACAAAAGCTGCAGATTAATATCACCTGCAGATGACTCATGTGCCTTTTAAAGTTGGAGTATTGGAACACTTCCATCACCCAATGAGAAAATATTGACTGGGAAATGTTCTAGTGCAGCTATATTTAATTTCTATAAGTGATGGAGTTCTAGGGTCAATGCAAGGTATTACTGCATGCTAATCTAAAAGTGGTTAATTGAAAGGACTGATGAGAGAATATATCCTGGATTTCAGCATGAAATAATCAAGAGAAATGATTTCAAAAACTCAAATCAATATAAATAAAGGTCTTAAAGCTGCTTTTTTTTTTTTTCTTGGTACCAGGGATCGAATTCGGGACCTTGTGCTTGTGAGGCAAAATTGCTTATTGAGCAAGAGTAAGTGATAACCATTTGATCCATAATGCTGCAATAGCTCTAGTTTTAAGGACTATCATATAAAATATTTCCCAGTAGATTCCATTGGGGAAGAAGCCTAAACAAATCTCCTTTGCTAAAAAGAAAAGCCTTAGTGGAAGATAAAAGATAATGAATTATACCTGAAATCTGCACAATGAACTGAGAGCAATACACCATTAAAAACCAAAGGAATTTTACAGCCTATTAACTGTAAGAATGTCTACTGTACTAGAAAAAATGTTAATTTTTACAGTTTATGACTATGCTAATTCCCAAACAGATACTTGGGCGACATTTATGGTAACTGAGGAAAATTTTCTCACTATGTAAGCACTGGAATTTGCATTTTCTAATGTCACCTACATGGTAAAACATTGTCATGGAAGGAATAAGTTATTCAGAAGTAGATTTAGCCAACAATAATATCAACACTTTCATTTTAAGCTCATTGATTTTTTTTTTAACCTTAATGAGTACTGGAATTAGTAGAGTACAAAAAGCCCTGTATCGGTTGAAAATCTTCTCACAACTCAATTTAATTTAATTTGAAAATAGCTGTTTTACTGTCTCTCAAACTAAATTTAAGAAATCAAACAGAGCATTAACATGTTAATTAATAAGAGGTTCAGTGGAAAGGTAGGAAATGATTAGTTGCATTATGATTCCTTCAGATTTTCTCTAGGAAACTCATTAAAGGGCTCTTCAGACATGGTTTTCTGATAAAAATGACAAACATATGGCACATGTTCTTGAGGGATCTTGAGGTGCAGGGAAGGCCTGTGTCTGAGATCTTCTCACAGCAGGGAGGCTGACAGGTATGCTCCCCTCAAAGGCATTTATAAGTGAAGCAGCATGTCCTAAGCCAGAGATGCTAACCAGTGAAGAAGAGAAGAGCTCATGGCCATGGTAATCACTGCAATGGCAGCCCATCATCTTTGGGTTGGCCCAGGAAGAGATAGTCCATATTTTTACACTCACAGAGGTGAAATGAGGAATTCTCTAAGTAATCTACTTTTTTTTGCCTCTTTATATTTAGATTTTTCACAAATACAATTCATAAATATCAGTTTTATTTTCCATCATTTTCATTACCCAGAGTCAAGTGTGATCTGAAAATATTAAATGGAACATTTCAGAATTAAATAATTTAACAAGTTTAAATATTTTTATTAAATTGAATTGCTCTAATTGTTATATTTTATTAGTTATTGTAGTTAATCTTTTACTGAGCATAATTTATTAAACTTTATGATAGATGAGAATGTTTAGAAACAATAATAAATATGGAGCCTGGTACTATATATATCAGGGAGCTGCTGGGATTGGGGATCTAGGGGATACTACTGTATTGGATCATTTGATCTCTCCACTTTTGGAAATTAGGAAGATTTGACATAATTCCCAGAGGAAGCTGACTGCAGTCAGATTCATTTGAGCTTTCCTATTGCGAGTGTGTATAATATTCAGATTCTTTCTCTTTGTCTTAGTATCTTTCTTCCCACAGTTAAACATACAGATTTGCTGAAATTATTTTAGACATTTAAGTAGGTGTATACAACACTGGATAAAACATGACTTAGACATCAGGATAGGAAAAGGTGCCAGCTACAATACAGAACTACTGCTGAACATACAAAGTCTTAAATTCTTCCCTATAGGTAGATCGCAAGATTGGATCTTATCTTTGCACCAGGTTGAAGAAGCCCTGTGAATGGCATTTTAGCAATGCCTCTCATAAGTCTGGTCTCTAACCAGCATCGCTTGGGAACTTGGCAGCCGTGCAAATTCCTGGGACTCACTTGAGGCCCACTAAATCAAAAACTCTGGTGTGAGACTTTATCATCTCTAACCATTCCTCTGAGTGAGTTGGATGCATGCTCAAATTTGAGAATTACTGCATTACAGAATGAAGAAAAAGTTAAATATTGAGCAGTGCATAGGACAGGAATATCTGTACTACATGGCATCTTTTCTGTTTTGTTTGCTTTTGTGTTCCTAAAACAGAATAAGGCATATAGTTCATACCCAATAAATTTCTGTTGAACCTACACAATTCCTCAAAATATCTTCTGAAGGTTCTTAAAGACTGGATACTGTTTTTAATAATAGAGCAGTACATTTTCCAAGACTTTGATAGTAATTCTACATGTTGGCATAAGTGGATAAAATAATTCCATAAATAGCTAGTAGTATGTAAGATTGGACAGCTCTTCTCAGTCTTGGCTTTTCAGAACTCATAATCAAAATTACCTGTGGCTGGCCCAACTGCTCTGATATATTCAATAGATCTAAAGTAAATCTAGGAATGGTAATCATAAAATGATGTCCAAGTAACATATATATGAATAAATTATTACATTATAAATTATATTTTATATGTATTTCTGTATACAAACATAACTTTCCAATTTTGTTGTTATATTTAATAAACAAAATTAAGGTTTAAAAATAATTATACTGTTAGTATTTATATGTATTATGATAGTTATAGAGTTTATATTTATTATGATAGTTCACTAAAACAAAATCATCAATATCTTTGCATAGAGTGGATAATTAAGTTGGAGTTATTAATTTTAATGAAACTTTTGGGTTATTCTTTTTTTTAAAAAAATCAATAATTGAGATGTTTCTTGATTTTAATTTTAGCCACATTTTCGATGCTCTTTCTTTTTTCAGTTGAGTCTCTACTATCGACTGGAAAGACACATACATGCAGGGACTGTCAAGACTTCACGTCTCACTATCAAAACTGTAAGTAGCACTGATAATGATACGTGGCTTTTCCCTGGACTTTGAGATTTAATTATTCATAAATATATGCAAGATAGGGATATAGAAAATGGATTCCTCCCCTCTATTATACGATTCCTTTAATTTTCATCTATTTATACAGCACTTAGGATCTTTCAAAAGCTGAATAGAGATTAATCAATCTGTTCCTCCTAAGAATGTTATAAAATAGATGCTACTGTTAATCTCCTTTTATCTATGATAAAAAAAAAACCCAGAGATGTTAAATAACTTTCCCATGATTTTATACCTGGTAAGGAGTGGAAAAGGAAATCAAAAGAAGCCAGTCTGGCTTTAGAGTTTGTGCAGTTAGCCACTCTACTGCTTCTCTGCACATTTTCAAACATGAAATCTTGACTGAAAATTCAAGGTTTTTTGCACATCAATAACATGTTTAGAAGAAAGTAATAATTATGCAAACTTTAGATTTTGATATTTTTAAATTATGTTAACAAATTCTTGATGAATATCCTAAATGTATAAAGGGATAGACAATGGGAAAAAAGAGAAAGGTCTTCAAAGAAATTAGAGTAATTTTGCTAGGAATAAATATAATAATCTATATTAAAAGGCAGCACAGATAATAAATGGGACCAGGTAAATAATTTGATAGTCTATAATTACTGAAGAATTCTTTCTGACGAAGGAAAATTTATAAAAATGGCTTCGTGGGAATCAACAAAGATAAAAACACAAAGTTCCTTTCAGCTCCACAAGTTATGAATAGTTTACAAGTAATAAGCCCGGTTAGCTGTTTTTGTGCAAAACAACTTTTTCTACCTGTTTTGGGAAGACTTGAAATTAATTACAAAAAATATGATACAAATTTAAGCTATACACAAGATACTCTTTTTCAACAAATATTACTTGTTATGTTTATAAGAATGGCAAAACTGGATATTCTTGCATTCTTTGCTATTATCTGCCATCTATATTTTAGAAAACTTTGTCCATTTTGCTAAGAAGAATTCAGCAATCTGTCATCTAAAAGCATGAAATCACTGAAGGCTAAGTGGGGAACAGTGTTAGAAGCATCATTGTATTAACTATTTTCCACCTAACAACCTGAAACTTAGATCAAACTTGAAGTTTATCTATTTTTGATGGTGTTTATCAGTACCTTCAAGTTTTAAAATGAAATGTTTCCGCATGGCTGACAAGGTTTCCATTTATAAGCATCCCAGTTGGATAGGCTGCTCTTCAGTGTTTATCCAAAGTGGCAATTTTGGTGTAAAACTTTCACTTGCGATGAATGATGGGAGTTAGGACAGATTTAAAACCTGCTTTGCCCACAAATTGTAATTGGTTGAAATAGAGCAATTTGACACTATCTTATAGAGAGAGAATGTCAGAAATGAGGCCTAAGGGAGAAGACAAGTGAACAGAAAAAATTTAAAGCTGCTAAAATCCATAGCTTACGTGACTTGTATAAGTAACTCAAGTGCTAGACCCCCATCATAGAGAACATAGGTTTCATCATTTTACACTGATACAAAATAATGAACATAATGGAGGAAAGTTTTCAGATTCAGGAAAGTTAATATTTTCTACATAATGACTGAACAGTCCAGCTTGATACATTGAAACAATCTCTCCTTTTTTTCTTCACTTGCCTTCCACTAAATGCTCCCACATATTCTGACAATTCTTTATTTAGCTCTTTATGAATTCCTCAACTTCAAAATGTTAGAATTTCCCAGCACTCATTCCTGTCATATTTTCCCATATGATCCATGTTGATTTCCTTAGATGATAAACCGATCCTTGTAATATTAAGTGTTCTAGCTTATTTCTTTTCTTTCACCATGATTCCAGAAATGAATAAAAAATACTGTCACTTAATTAACTTGCATAATATAAGAATTCTATGATAGGTAATCTGGAAAAATAAACAACTTTATTCTTTGACAATAGCTCATTATTCAAATGATCACATATCATACTCTGCACCAGGCATGTAATGTAGGCTATTTTATCTAACACTAGTGTAACCTTTTAAGTAGTGAATGTTGTCCCTATTTTACAGATGACCAATGATACCAAGATCACATGCCAGGTACAATACCAGCTGATAGCAATATGGCTGCTCTGTAGTTTCTTAATTTACTCACCTGATAATCCTGAGGTAGTGTTATTCACATTTTATAGGTGTGATAAAAGCTTTAGAAAGCAACTTACCAAAGATGGAAAAACTAATGGGTAGGATATCTTCAATTTAAGTCTTTTAAACTCTAAATTTCTGCCCCTTTTCATGTAAGCATGGTGTCTTCTAGGGAGAAAAGAAGGGACAAAGCTAAGAAAGGCCCAAGGAAGACATAGATGAACTAAGAAAGCATAAGGAACTGGACAAGTAAGAGTCAACAAGATGGCCAAGGAAATATACAAACAAAAAGGAAAAAAAAATCTAGAAAACCAAAAAATAAAAGTGACCATGGAGGTGAACTTTGCCTATTTACAATTTTTGTTTAAGACCGAATCTGCAGGTCTTGGTTCATGTTATCTAAGATATAACAACACTAATAGTGACTGAAATTCTTTCATTACAGTAAAAACCATTTCCTTTTGATTTGCTAGTTTTTATACTTGGCAAATAAGAATTCATTTTTTAGTAACAACTAAATTGCCTGAAGGGTTCAGTACTTTATTTTGATCTTAAATCATGTGTTAGAACCAGTGTGTGCTGTAATTTATAAATTGAAAAGCAAACAAAACTATTTTACTATGTACCTTTCTAAGATATATTTTTTAATTTTAATTTCTTTGAAGTGATGAACTTAGCTAACTAATTGTTATATAAGACTGATTCTAAATAATTTCATTTTGATTATTTCATAAATACCTAAGAAAGGTCATGTTCTAATTTCTTTATTCAGCAAATCAGTGTTTATTTAACACTCACTATGTAATGGGCTCTGAACTATGGGCACCATAAGTATAAATGTTTCCAATTTCTTAGCTTCTGTTTTAGAAGTTCATTGCAAGTTCATAGAAGACATAAATATGGAATTCAAAACCCATATATAAGCCACACACATATATGTACACACACATATATTAAACATAACAGAAAAACAAGGAAATTCTAATTTCTAATGAAGTTAAGTCTAGGAGAAAGAAGTTATAAGTTGATTGAATCAGCAGTTAAGAGGAAACTCAGAATTTAAAAGTCAATAGTTTTAGACATACATACTTGGAAATAAAGTAAACTAATGTGATGAGCCAACAACTCAACCAAATTAAGGAAATTACAACTGGGAGAGATGACACAGACTGTAACAACTGGTCACAGGCAAACCATGAGTTAGTAAAGATAATAGAAAGGATGAGTATGAATGTTTAACCCTAAGAATCTGTTAGGGCACTTCAGGAAAGAGAATGGCGTTTACCAAAGATATTGTTCTAGCAATTTTGTAGGGCAGATGTATAGGGCTGTCTAATGACACATTAAGAACACCAACATTTAAGGGACAAATTGCCTACATATAGCAGTTGAGTAAAGAGCTGTAAAACAATTGAACAGAAAGGAATGCTACTCAAGAAGGCAGAAACCAAGATTCCAAAAAGGAACAAGTGCTCAACGGTGTTAAAAAAATGTTTAGAAAGTAAGGAGTTGTGACAAAAAAAATCCAGAGAGCTCTGAAGTTGGATTTCCTGAACTGAAATCCTGTGTGACCTAAGGCAGATTACATTATCGTGTAATGCTTTTGTTTTTATCATCTATAAAATAGGATTCATGTCATGCTTTAAATGATGATTATGAAAATTAAATAATATTTTAAAGCTCTTAGAAATTGTCTTAAAACACAGAAAGTAGTAGTTATAGGTTGATAATAAATGCAAATTTGATGTAGAATAATGATGGCATAAAGTAATTAACACTGAATTGAAAAGTAAATGATAAAGAACAGGAGAACAGAAGATAGTTGAGCTTGGAAGTTTTCCAGTGAAGGGAAGGCAAGAAAGGACAGTTGTCTGGAGAGGAGTGAGGCTTAAAAGAAGTATGAGCTTTTGTTATTGGATTTTGTTTGTTAAAAAAGATTGAGACACAGTTTTAGCCTGAAAATAAATAAAGATCTTAACTCTCTTATGCCCTCCCCTACGGGTTCTCTGGAACAGAGTCCGGTGATAGACCGTGGAATTTCCCATGCCAGTGTGACCAGAAGGCTACCATTACCGTGGGACCACTGGGTTGGGGTGGGGGAGTGCCAGGCAGACCAGGGTTCTAAGAAGCAGGAGGTGGGTTACCGAAGGTATGCCTCATACACAAGTGAGCTGAAGCTCCTAGATTTCAGCTATATCCTGCACTGTCTCACTGGACTTCTTACAAAATGCACTTTCAAAGATAAAATTATTAAGACTCAAGCTGGTCACTACTGAGCGCTAAACTCCAAACTTGGGGCCATTCCATGAAGAGATAGTATGCTGCTGAATTAATTAGTGGTACATCCATAAAATCTGCTCTGGTGTGGCATTAGGGACATAACAATTACTCTCCTCCTTTGCGTTATTGGTGTCGTAAATAAAATGTCCGCCATCTCTACCCTGGAGCTGCAGTAGCTTAGCGTGTTCAGTAGGTGGCTCACTCACACATGAAGGAGGTGAAGGAGGTGAAGCAGGCTAGTTATGGAGATTGCAAACCCTTTTGAAGATTGCCTTTCAGCTTTGGGTTGGAACAACAGTTTTATTGGAAGAAGAGATTGATCTCCTTACCCTCAGCTGGGTTTCAGGTTTGTGTTTTACTTTCCATTTATGTGGCTGGCCTTCTGCTAATGGCTGGAGCAAAGGGATTAGTCATTAGGTTTCCCAAACCACTGGAAAACCTAATAAGGTTTATCCAGAAATAGCAAAAAGAAAAACGCTAGTATTTCATGTGAGAGGTCCTGAATTTTGCTAGGGATACAAAGTTTTGATATTCCTGTCCATTAGTGCTATCATAACAAAATACCTGAGATGAAGAAATT